AAGATCACGTTTTTCGTAATGCAGATATCAAATCTACGAATATCAGTATTTTAATTAGTTACTTATACTCCGACACACCTTTGATAATATCTCGTCAATTTTGTGTTATAATGTACTCTTTTCTAAATATAACTTTGATATTAGTTATTTTCATAAGATGTGCTATGTTCATATCAGTTCTAATGGGTACTTCTATGAATTTACATAACAATATGTTCAACGCTATTACAAGAGCCACAATGCACTTCTTCAATACAAATTCATCGGGTAATGAATTTATTGAATAAGTATTGAATAGAATTCATATAAGATCTAATATTAGGTAGTCAATATTAATTTTTCAGGTCGAATTCTTAACCGCTTTACTAAAGATATTGGTGCCATTGATGAAATACTACCAGTGCCTTTATTGGATTTTGTTCATGTAATTATAATTTATATTAAACTCATGTTTTCTTCACATTTCGTGTACAATAATTTTATTGTGAGTATAAATAACGCTTAATAAACCTTTTTTTGTATTTGTTTTGTTTTACCAGATATTATTACAACTTCTGGGAACTCTTTTTGTTGTTGGTATTGTTAACTTTTATCTTCTCATACCGACTTTCATCATAGGATTAATGTGTTTTTATACTGTTAATTTTTATTTATCGACATCGCGTAGTATCAAACGTTTGGAAGGTGTTTGTAAGTGCAGATTTATATACTCTCACTATGTATTGTATAACTTTTACGGAGTTTTAAACAACGAAGTATTTTGTTTTTTTTTTTTTAACATATAGGCCGAAGCCCCGTGTATGGATATTTGAATGCGTCACTTCAAGGATTGACCACTATCCGAGCGTTTGAAGCTGAAGACATTTTGTGTAAAGAATTTGATGGACACCAAGTAAAGACAATATATTTCTCGATAATAAAATGTTAATAATTCCTTTAAAATATTTAGGACTTACATTCTTCAACTTGGTATTTATTTATTACGTCCAGTGAAGCATTTGGATTTTCGTTAGACATGATATGTTTCATTTATATATGTATTTTAACTTTAAGTTTCTTGGTAGTAAACAATGGTAATGTATGATTAATTGTTGTGAAATTAATTGTATTAATCATTTATTTAATTTTTAGATAATTTTGGGGGAGATGTTGGATTGGTTTTAACTCAAGCAATTGGTTTGACGGGTGCTCTCCAGTCTGGAATAAGACAATTAGCTGAATTAGATAATCAAATGAAGTCCGTTGAGAGAGTACTCGAGTACACAAATGTCCCACAGGAAGCATCTCTGCAATCTTCTCCTGGTAATATAATTATGATATAAATATTTTATTTTTCTCTGATCAACAATATAAATGTTAAGTATTTAATATTTTAATTCGATAATATCCCATTAAATGAAAATTAAATCTTGTAGCAACAGCTAATGAACTTGAATAAGCAATTGAAAATGTATATAACTTAAAATAAACAATTTTGGAATAGATATATGTAGATTGTGGGTACTTTTACATTGTATGTACCTATACAATTTTTCTTTATGGTTAAAAAAGGCTCAAATATTTTTTTAAATAATTAAAATTTATGTTGTAACTTGATATACTGAAAACAAGTAACAACTTTTTACTTTCAACGTTTTATCGTACCTGTCTTGTATTCATCATACTTAGTTGATAACGATGACAGCCAGTTATGGCATTCGTTTCTATCTTAGTTAGGCGGTATTTAATGAATAGTATTCACAATTTTCAATCACTGATATTTCAGTATTTCTGTTCAGATAAAAAACCACCAAAAGAATGGCCAGATAAAGGTCGAATTGTGTTTGAAAATTTCTATCTACGTTATAGTTTAGATGCGGAATATGTTTTAAAAAATCTCAATATTCAAATTCAAGGAATGGAAAAAGTAATAATAACCGATACGTATCATTATAGATATTATTTTATTTTCTTTGAAAATAATTAGTATTATGAAAATTGTTTTTTGAACTAGATTGGAATTGTAGGTCGAACTGGTGCAGGTAAATCGTCGCTGATAGGAGCATTATTTAGACTTGCTCTCAATGAGGGAAATATCACCATTGATGGTATAGAAATACACGAATTGGGATTACACGATTTACGTTCCAAAATTTCAATAATTCCACAAGAACCAGTTTTGTTTTCGGGATCAATGCGTAAAAACATAGATCCTTTGGACGAATACCCGGATCATGCTCTTTGGAATGCTTTAGAAGAAGTATATTATGTCGTTTATAATTTCCAAATACTGCAGTTGATTTATATATTTACGTCATTACTATTACAAAGTAATAAAAAGAGTTTCATGAGTAATATTTTGTAAATTTATTACTGTTTAAGGTGGAACTTAAAACCGCCGTCGAAGATTTGCCCGACGGTCTCAACTCAAAAATGTCTGAAGGTGGGTCTAACTTCAGCGTTGGTCAAAGGCAATTAGTATGTTTGGCCAGAGCTATTGTGCGTAGTAATAAGCTCCTCGTGCTGGACGAAGCTACTGCCAATGTGGATTCACAGTAATTATTGATACAAATCATATAGGATCGAGCCTAATAATAATGTTCTCGTTATATTCATAAAACTGTGTGTGATGGTTTGTTTTTTAATTTTCAGGACTGATGCGTTGATTCAAAATACGATTAGAAATAAATTTCGGTCTTGTACAGTGTTAACGATCGCTCACCGGCTGAACACAGTTATGGATTCTGACAGGGTGCTTGTTATGGATGCCGGAACAATGGTCGAATTCGGCCACCCTTATAACTTGTTGCAAAATAAAGATGGGTTTTTGTACAAAATGGTAGAACAAACTGGAAGCGAAACGTCTGAATTGTTACATAGTATAGCCGCTGAGGTATAGTATAATAGAAAATTATACAGATTGTATTGTACCTTATTGTATGCATTACTGTTTTACTATTTGTTTTAGAGCTATACAACTACGAAGAATCAACAGTATAATTAATTGTCAATGATAAATATTTATAATTATTTCAGATTTTTCAAATTGTATTAATTTTTATATTTTTGCTGCATATTATAATGGCTTAGAATTGTTCACTACTCATACTACTGACCAAAATGAGAATACAACTATTTACGTAATATACGAACATGTTTAATCAATGGTTCTTTTTTGGTGATGGATATCATTTAAAAAACGAGGTTGACTGGTTGGTCATGATTTTCTTGCGTTAACCATTAAACCATATCAGAGGATATAATTATTATTTAACAATATGTATTAAATACTGCTTGTATGTTATAATGCTTTGGTATTATGGAAGTTTTTATTTAAATATAATAATATTGTTATGGTATTTCTATGTTATCGCTTAAATTACTTTTAGTCTTGATGAAACTAAATGTTATATTAAGTAAATAGTATAGAGGTACTTAGTATTTTAATAATTTAATAATTAGGTGTATAAGTGTCTAGCTTTATACATTAAATGTTGACATATATTTTTAAGAGTTAAGGAAATAAACATTTTACGAGGTACGCCAAGTTATGAGTATTTTAATAGTATTTTAATAATTTACAATTTTTTTAAATACTCATAACTCGCTTTAAAATTAAAATATCATAAAAATCCTATGAGATTCCCTAGATAATAATCTTATCTTTAAATTGTAATTGTATAAGAACTAATTTCACTCTTATTTTAGAAATTATTATGATTTTACTTTTATAGTCTATAATATGAAAGTACAATTTGTTATGATGCTCGTGGATCAGTGGGTCTCGTGGGTCGTTGGTCACATCATTCATTGATGCTATTAAGTTGTAAAAAAGATATAATCGATTCCATTGCATACATGCTATTCTTACAAAGTGATCCTTTGCCAAACTAAGGATATAAATGTAAACGTTTGATTAACATGTAAATAGTATCTTTAAATTCAAAATACCTATATTGTATTTGTTTGATTTTAAATACCCACATTTTTAATTTGTAATATGTTATAAAATATGCTTTAAAATATAAAATATTCAATTATCATAAAATACACAATTTATATCATTATAATGTATAATGTTATTACTTATTATGCAATAATCCGGGAAATGTTTGACATTAAAACATAATTTTGGACCCATTTAATGTTGTCAATTATATTTTTATCGAAAACTGTAGGCACAGGCCATATTAGTGTACTACGTACTTATATGCATTGATATGCACTAATTAACCGGCTTATGTTATACGTTTTGTACAATATCAAAATTATTTGCGATGGCTGACGTCTGTAATAAAATACCAGTCGTCAAATTGTGTTCTGAGGAGTCTGCAAAATTCCCTTTACACCCTTCTAAAAATAAACCCTAGGAACGTCCCCATATAGGTTAAAAAATGATTAACAGTAGATCTTTGAAATACCTACTATAATCAACCAAGTCGGTATATCAAAAATAACGATTTAATCTGTTGTAGTATATAAAATAAATACTAAAAAATATATTTTAATAATACTTAAGTCTATGTTAGGATAATATAGTGATAAAAATATACACTGTTATGAGTGTCATTATTATGAAATTTACGTTATTCAGAGATTTTGTTCCTCGAGCCTCGGATAGTTAAAAATGGAAATATAATTCCCGACATTTTATTCAAAAAATCCTTCCCAATAGCATGCAACTCGAAATTATTCCTCTACGAGGAAAATCTATGAATCATAGATATGTTTTTGTCAATAAGAAACCATGACAGCAAACTAGCCGTATAGAATTTATCCTCACAGGTTAGGAAAAAAATTGCATTCATACCAGAAATATGTTCCTGTTAAAAAAAATGTATATCTAGATGTACGAGTACAAGTATATTTAGTTCAATATGCGTTTATTCTTAACATTTGTTCAAACAAAAATACTTTACTATAATATTTATTATCATAAAAATTAAACGTCGATATGTTTAAATGGTTTTATTATAAAATGTTTTATATAGCTAAAACTTGATTAAAATAATTTGCTGCCGATTACTATGTGTGGAAAATGGAAATACAAAAGTGAAAATGTTATTTGTGATAATGAGAATTTAATAAGAAATTAACACCTCCTATGTAATTAGTTAATGTTCTTTCTATAGAATATTTAATGATGCTAGCGCTTCTATACTACACCATTTACGGTACCGCGGTTTGAATTTAGACACCCCACTCTAGATAAGAACTTATGACAATTGTGGATATAAAATCATATAAAAACAATACTTTGTATTGTTTGTTCATTTGTATTTGAAAACCCATATAGTTCACTTACGCCGTAAACATTTACGAAATATTGGAAATATTTCATTGTCTTCATATTAATTTCAAAATGGTATATACACCTATAAAAATCACTATTTTATTGATCAAAGCTTTGTTTGTGTTTATTGTTTCAGGCTGCTGAAAGATATTTAATGAAACTTGAAGCCTGCCCTTTATTACGAGTATTAGATAAAGTAGAGCGAACTCCTCCCCCAGAAGTATCGAATTTTTATTGGAAAAATGATGACGAAGAAAAATATAAGGTTTTCATTCCCACTCCAAATCGATACGTTTATTATAATCTAGAAGAATATAACGGAGACATAGAAATCGGTATAATCGACCAATACGGGTTAGTATACTCTATACATAATACATAATTAAGACAAATAATATATTAATATACAACCATTAATATAATTATTAAGCTATGCAATACATTTTTATTATTATAATAATCAATATGTTCAAAACATTTTTTAAATTTAAAAGTCAAGAACCTAATAATTGTATTTGACATAAGATGTAGTATTGTAGTTCAACCTATAACAACGACTGTCTTACGAATGGTTATATAAACAGTGTGATAATATAATAATATGATACTATACCTCAATGCTGAAGTATTAATATCAATAAATATAATATAATTTATTAGATAACTAATATAAATTTCAATACAACCGAAAATGTATGTATATAATAACACATATAATAGTATATTTTTTTAATTTTTCAAGTTTAACTTTTGTAACACAGATTTAATTCGGGAATAATGCTTGCCGATTATACTTTTATTTACGTACTATCGCTATAACCGCAATAAGTTAATTACTGACATTGTTGTTTTCGGAATTCAGATTTTGGTTTGGAGGAGCGAATATTGTTATATACAATTTATATCAATACGTTTTTTTTAATCATTCATTATTATTCACAAGTTATAAAATTAACACCTATTTTGTAATTTTGACAACAATTCCATAACTTTTTAACTGTTTTTTATCAGATTGTATATAATTTTTAAGCTTGGTGTAGGTATGTACATACCTTAGATCGTTTTGAGTATCCGACATCGGACCTTTTAAAGAAGTACAGAACACAAAAAAATGTATCTTAAAATTATACTATTAAGTACCTATTAAATTATTGTAGTTAGTTAGAACTGTTCAAAACGATTTGGTCAAAATTATTGGTCAATACAATTTAAACGTGAGTAATTTATCGTGTGAAACGAGCAATGTTTACACGTTCTTGTATGATAAGTATGAAGTAATTACAGTGAGTTTGGCCAAATAATATCATACATTCTTCATGACTCATTAAATAGTGTGAGAACAAAGACTTTAAAACCAATATACCAATTTTCTGAGAGAACTGAATATTTTTTCCAAATTAAAAAAACTTATTATTTGTGTGTTTGTACCTATTCCTGTAAGAGGACGTGGGACCCCGAATGAAACGTATACACAATACAAAGGCCGACAGAATACGCCGTTCTCAGGATTTAAAAGCTTCTATGTGTTATCGCAATCAGCAAAGCACGCGAAACCATATCTCATTAATAATTGTAGTTGGTGGCCCGCCTATGAGTGTGCTTATTCGAGAGGGATGTTTATTATTTAATATTTTCTCAGTGCATCAATATTAAATTCATACAAGTAAATGTCATCGTAATTTTTTTAGACACTTTGTATGATAATATTATTTATTGTTGGTACGTTATTAGTTATTATACAAAATGTTTAAAAAAATTACGATGACATTTACTTGTATGAATTTAATATTGATAACTTATTAGTAATTTAATAATAAAAAATTTAAATAAAATGCTTTGATTTATCACTTTTAAGGATCGTGTCTGGTAGCAAAATGCATTTAGTTGGTAATTCAAAGGGGAGACGGAGATCAAAAAAAAAAAAAATTCCAGTACCTTTCAAAAGCACTGAGTAAAAATAAATAAATAAAAAAATTTCAATTTTCAAACCATACCAGTTTTTGATAAAATTGATATTGGTTTTTTGGTGTAACTCAAAAACGAAAAACCATACGACATTTTATCATTTTTCGAATGTCTATAAATAACTCAAAAACTGTCATGTAAAATATTTTGAAAATTGTGTCTAAAAATGCTAATTTAAACATTTAGTAAGAATTTCAAGTAGGTATATACGAAATTTCGTTATTGAGTTACACCAAAAAAGTAAAATTGATTTTATCAAAAACTCGTTTTGTGTAAAAATTCCAGTTTTTCCTTAATTTGTTATGAGTTTTTCTCGATTAATTTTCAAAGTACTGCATATTTTCTACTTTTAATCTCTCCAAAGCACCAAATACATTCACATTCCCACCACACAACATACTGAAGTTGAAGATCGAAGCATTATTTTGACTTCTTATCGTATTCAGAGGAATAAATATTAAAAATACACCCTACGCTTCGAATCAAAAATATATTAAACTTCATTTAAAAGTTAATAGTTCTGCTTTTTAAAAAATTATATCATTACTTAATTGAATTAGATGCTTATGAAATATATATTTTAACCTTATGGAAAATATTATTAATACTTAGTGTATTATATGGAATTATAATGTCTTTAACCCACAAATCAGGTTTATATAAGACAGTTAAAATAAAATCAACTAAAATAGGCACTGTATCAATAGATACTTTTTATTTTTTATCATCATTGATGCAGGCATGCAGTCATCAATTTTATTTTTATAGTTTGGACAATGGTATAATCAGACATCTACAATTTTTATCACATTATTTGTATTTGAAATAAAAGCAAAAACTTGTATATTTATAGTTTCAATTTTATTAAACAATACTTCATATTCAAGTAAAACTTACCATCAAACTAATCATGATTCTTTAGTAACTTTAATAATTATACAGACAAAAATCGGTCCAGTTTTATTAACAAGCTAGTCCAATCTCCTTATCTTTTTATCCCCCAAGATTATAAAGTAAGTTTTAAAGTGTGATAATACATTTTTTTTTTTAAAGATGGTTTTTTGCGAAAAAATGCGTACTGTTAGCTCTTACGAATGAATCCCCTGAAGATAAACCATTTATTAATAAGATGGAGTATTTGATTGCCAATTTGAGTGAATGGGAAAAAATTAATACAAATTCCTTGGTAAACGTTGGAAGTGATGTGAAGCATATCAATAAAAATCTATATAAACACTATAGACTTACTAAGTACTTGGTGAAGGATATTATAAACGTTCCAATGGTTTTAAGGTGGGTACATCCAATTACACATTATTATACACAATTACTTGCTTTTAACAGCAATTTACATTAATACTATAAGAACCTTAAAATAATATAGCTAATAGTATTCAGGGGTTCTTAATAATAGGTATACACAGGTCGTAATAGAACAAATTGATCAATTTAATGTATTAAGCTACCTATAGCTATATAATAGTTTTTTTTTAATTTTAATCGATTTTTAAAAAATTGTTTTCTGGTTTAAATTTTGTGATTTTTGTTAATGATATACCTATTTGGTATTAAAAATCAACATTTATTAACAACATACTTCATAAATTATTTCTGTTATACTTTGTATAAGTAAGCTAACACAAGTGCCTCTACATACATTTATACTATAGTAAATTTTGATTTTTTTTTCGTTTAGATTAGGTTTGCACAATTTGAGAATATAATATATCTGTTCATTATTAATTATTATTGTATTTTATCATATTGACCTTCCTTCTGATTTGTGAGATTTTTATTTATTCAAATAGAGGGAGACATGCAGTATTCAAAGGTGATATAACAATACACCCCGATCAAGATGAGGCAAATGCAATCCACGAGATGAACATTGGATTCGAATTAGCGATAGAACGTTTTGCCACAGACCAAAATTATGGAGTTCATGCTTATGGTAGGTAGTACAATACAAAAATACTGAGCATATAAATGCGGAATATCCAAATATATGCATAATACCATTATAATAACATAAAAAATAACCATTTTAGTAAATTCTATATCAAATGTATACATAACCTTGCACGGTTATCTCCACGGAAACAAAGGGCACCTATATTCTATAAATATTATAATCTATATATCATTACCTAACCTTACTACATATTACCTACTACAAAATATATACTCATTTTATATTCATAAAAATGTATGCCAATTGTACGGTACCTAAATACAACTGTAAACTAATTATACATTACATATATATATATATATCATATAATATACTATATTAAATAAAAATATTATAGATATGTCAAAACAATATACTCATTAAAAAATAAACATCTAGAAAATATGTCAAGTAACTCTCTATAAAATTGTTGAATATCTCTTGTAAGTACGTATATTTTTGATTGTTTGTATCGTGTGTATCTTGTGAAGCTGCATTTTGAATACATACATAGAATATTTTATAAATTTTATTTCAGCAATATAGGTATTATTAATTATTTTGTTATGTTAATATCAAAAATCAAACATTCGTTTAATTGACTAATTATAATTCACCCATATCTCAACTTTTATACTAGAAATTGTTATACTGTTGGTTTGACATGTATTAATATTTAAGAATATCATTTTCATATATTTCGAATCCAAATAATTTACCTAAAATTTTTTTTTTCTTAAATATTTATTTTAGAGTCTGTAAATATGTTTTTTACAATATATATTATGCAGGGGTAGTAATTATTGGACTGTAGACTAAGAGATAGAATCTATCCCGTGGTGGAACTACACGATATAGATATTAAAAATGAAATAGATCTACAGGATATAGACAAAGAAAATGTTACACTATAAAAAAATCATTCGTTAAAACAATTTGAATCAGATCACTGACATGGTATAAGTTTGGACAGTAAAATATATGCAATATTACTGATAAAAAAAATAAAAATAAAATGTACCATTACTCATTAGTCATTACAGTTTAAATTTAACACAAATATTTACAAACTCACAACTCTATCCACAAGTTCCCGGGTAATTTTTTTTGGCGGTCATCATAACTGAACACTTTAAAAAAGGTTGTCGCTTCGCATTCGCACACATCTATATATATCTACATCACATAGATATCACAAACAGCTATCTTAAAAACACATCGTTCAATACCACACTTACTTGATATGGTATCAATAACGCATGAATATATATATATATATATTTAATCATATCGTTTAGAACCATAGACCAGTTGATTCACGTTTCATTCGATGTGCCATTAAACGTAAATTACAATTGCATTTTTATGAAAAAACAATAAATATTGGATTAGTAAAATGGCAAGACTGATGCATGTTTTAGTGCGTGTAGATAGTATTGATGCTATGAAACAGTCTATGACAGTATATGACAGTTGTGACATGAAAACTCCTACCATCTGTGCCTTTGTCACTTTTAGATGCTCTTATGAGGTCCAATATCACTCTAAATAATGGTGAACACCATGTTGGTGGTATGATAAAGTTATAATAAAATATTAACTTGAATGGACGAATAGGCCTTTAAAATATACTATTATATTATGACGATAGTGCAGTTTTCTCAAACTCTAGTGAAATCAATATTTTTACTGAAAATATACAAACCCATCTAAACATAATATATAGCAGGGTGAAGAATAATTAAATTATTCATCATCACTCAAAACCAAACTCTGCTGTATTGTTCACAATTCAACAATCCACTTGAAAAGCTTAAAGGTAATAATATCCCTTGGGTCATCAAGTATGAATATCTCAGAATAATTCGTAATAAATCCAGAGATATTCATTAGTAACTGTTTTTTTCCAAACAATTAAAAAAAAATATATAAATTATATTGAACACAGAACAACCACTGTAAATCATTAAAAATCAATCTGATTACATAAGTATTGAACTTGGTTTAAGATAACAAACAATATAAAATCTCTTCTTCAGTTTCTTGAAAATCGTTGCTTGTTGTGCACAATCTAATCCATATAGTTTAGGGATGACAAAAAATCGTTGGTGCTCAATAATGTCAATGTAGATAACAAATTAAAGAAACGTTTCAAATTCTCGTAAAAACTAATTACCTACTAAATTAATTTAAATGTTTCTAATTTAACTAATTTTGTGCTTGAAGAGTTAGTTGAACTAAAAAGCATATGATATGGTAAATAAATAATGAAGCTGCGGTGTCCTCCTCAATTTTTAATTTTGGATTCTATGTTTTTACAATTTACAACATATTAACAAGCATTTCGTTAAAAATGAGTAATGTTATCTTGAAATCAAAAAAAACCTGCACACTTGAGATATTTTTCAAGTTAGTGTAGTATACTTTGTATAAGTTCCCAATAGGTGAAAGCAGCAAGTTGCAAGTATATCTGTTTGAATTATTATTACATATAGAAATTATGAAATGAAATATAAAAGTTACCACCGGTATATCATATTCCACCAGTGACCAGTGTTTCACATTTTTATGTTTAAAAAGAAAATAGTAATCGCAAAAAGTAAGGATGAGGATAATAAAGCTAAAATTATGGCTGTGAAAAAAACACTAGATATGCTATGCTACTAACAAGCACGTATGCACTTAAAACCAATAAAATATACTCTTAAAATATGTACTTAAATAACAAAATACAATTACCTATTTTAAATATATTTCATGCTATTGAAAAAAATATAAGACTTTTTATTATCTACTTAGGTCAAGTTTTTTTTCTACAGACCTTCTCCTTCTCCCAAAATTTAAAAGTTATGTGTACGCATTAACAATATCATAATTAATAGGTAGTATGCAAATAACCATGTTAAAAGTTTGACCTTTCTGTATTACACTTATGCCCATAGCCACATACATACCCATACTTAATGCATAAAAATAAATAGTATCATTACTTATAATAATAGTTATGAAATTGATAATATGATACTTTTAAGTGTTATCTTTGTCATAAAAAAAATAGTGAGTGATTTTTAATTATGAAAAAATAAATAATTAATTATAAAACGTATAAAACATTAAAACGAATAATGATGTATCTTTAATCATATATTAAAATCATTAAAATCAAAAGAAATATCTTGTCATTTCTCATTTACCAATATAATAACTGTATAATATTATATATTTTCAGCTATCCACTAAATTCTTCTTACCCAATCCCTACATTATTTTTATTCTGCACGATCATCTATGTAGGTATTTCGATTGCGGACAATTATTATTCAATATTTACATTTCTATTACAATTAATCAATGTATTAAAATCAAATAAAAAAACAATTACCAGTACTTTTTATTTTTAATGATACCGATAAATATTTAATGAAAGTATACTATTAATTATTATTAACGACACTTGCATAACACATAACAGTATACAATATACAAATATACGCAATGCGCATTATCGTATTACAGATAGTCCAAATAAAAAAAATAATAGTTCAATACAACAAATGTAATAAGGTTAACCATATTAATTCATTATATTTATCACGTTCAAGTTGAAAACCTGCTCGATTATTATTTGACACAACCGATTTTCCATTATGATTAAAAAAATTTTAATCAATTTTACCGATTAATCGGATACGCGATTAATTCAATAATCGATTTCTGCGGTCTCGAACTCTCGACGCTTAGTCGACATAAACATTGCCCCGATTGACGGTGTCGACTACGGGTCGTCAATTACAGTGTTCACTTGGATGATTTAAAATTTTGACTTGCGATGAGGAAACGTTTTGAAATCTACTGTATGCGATGTATATACTATTTTAAAACATATATATAGGTAAATACACAAAATACAATAAATATCCGTATTTAACAGTTTTTATCGTTTTTTTTACTGTAGACATTATTATGACGATCTGTAAGTATCAAATTAAATATTTTTTAAAACATTACAATTTTAATGAAAATTAATTTTGCAACATTTAAAATCTAATATCATATAAGATATAACTGAGTTGAGTGGGTATTAATTAATATACATCGGCTTGAGAAGGTACTTAACAATAATTGAGATCTACCACGATACATTGTCAACATATACCTATTACATGACTATGCATATTATACTTTTAGCTTTTGAAGCATTAAATAAATACTAAGAATATATTTTAATAATACTTAAATCTATTATCCATACGTATAGATAATATTGAAGAATACTCACAAAAATACGTTTCTAAAATATATACATAAAAACCTATTAATACACAAGTGACGATCAACACTATAATACATTAAACTAATAAATACAAAACCGAACGTCGAAATATCTCAACGTTTATACTATAAAATGTTTTACATAATATTATTATATTGAGCATTATATTGAACTTAAGTGTGGGGAAAGATAAGAAAAATTCCATTAGTGATCATGACAAATTGCAGTAATACCGTGCATATACCACCTAGGTAGGAGGCACTTACTACTCATACGGCTTTACCAGATGACTTAAGGCCCCCACACACTGCAGCGGTAGCGGTAGCATTAAAATGAGTCTGGACACGATTTACCGCCACCGCTGCAGTTAGCGTGGACCTTGAGTCTTGACACATAATTAGTATAAATATTGTTGTCGCAACGATACTAGTGCTATACTGCAGTTTGCATTTTAATACCACACTCTAGAACAAAAACAACGAAAAATTCAAGGCGTTATAGATTATAGAATAATAATACATTGTATTGTTTATTCACCTGAATTAATATTTTAAAAGCCGTATTGTTCATTCGCACAGTATACATTCACGACATTGGAAATATTTAATTGCTTCAATATTAATTACAAAATGGTATGTATTACACCTATTTAAAATCCCCATTTTATTGATCAAAAATTTTGATTGAGTTTATTGTTTCAGGCTGCTGAAAAATATTTAATGAAACTTGAAGCCTGCCCTTTATTATTAGATCAAGTAGAGCGAACTCCCCCCCCAGAAGTTTCGAATTTTTATTGGAAAAATGATGACGAAGAAAAATATAAGGTTTTCATTCCCACTCCCAACCGCAAATTATATTATAATTTAGAAGAATATGAAGGAGACATAAATATCAACGAAATCGATAATGACGGGTTAGTATACTGTATAATGTAAATATAATAATTAATATGATTAAACTGTATTATTAAATACAGTATTACTAACTCAGTAAGTAGTCGACGTAATTAAGACATATTTTAAATTTGATATTCAAGAACATAATATTGATAATAATATGTGTCGTGTTTGTCACAAGATGTGAACCTATACAAATTACTTCGCTTTACAAATAAATAATCCTTTATTCCTTTATTCCTTTATAATCAGATTCCTTTATAATCAGTGTGACATTATAATACAATATTCCTACTATAATATAGCATACAGAAGTATATACGCCTAGTATATATTATATTATATTGAGAAATATAAAACTATTTATTTCTTATTTCAATAAGACAAAAATATAAATAAATGTATAAATTCAATACTCATTATGATGAGTAATATTATTTGTATTGTGTTTTCAAGTTGAACTTCTATAACTCAAATGTATACGGTTATACTCGTATTACACAAAACCTTTTATGAACTATAGTTACAACCTCAATAAATTCATCATTATAGTAGTTTTTCTTTGAGTTAGATTTTATGGAACTAATGTTTATATAAAATAAACATTAAATTTAAGCAAATCATCTGAAGCTTATTATGTTTTATAGAGGTTATTAAAAAATATAAACATCATAACATTACGTTTTACTATAATTATCATGAATATTCAAAAGTTATACAGGTTTTGATAACAATTTTACAATATTTTAAACATTGATTTATTATATTATATGTTATTTTACATATTATTATGTATGTATTATGTAGGTTTTCAAGTTAATACACACTAACAGCTATAATATTTATTTATTTATTTAACGGGCTGAGCCCTATACAATGTCTTAAAACATAGTACAATAATAAGTAATCTAAATAATTAATACAAATAAATGTATATAAGATAATAATTCCAGTAATAATAAGTATAATAACGATAGTACATGTTATAAATATATAGTAACACCTAATTATAATTGTATCAGTTTTGATAAATGGTGCTCTCGTTGGCCAGCCGCGTCATGCGGTCTAACGCATTATTTCTTCCGTAATTGGTAGTGTGTGCAGGAACAACAAAAGGAACATGGTATCTAGTAGTGCAAGAATGAACTTCGAAATTGACTAACGAAAGAAGTGAGGGAGCATCAATACGGCCATCAACCGTTTTTCGAAACCATTTTTTTTCAAAAACTCTACGTAAGCGTTAACTCGTCGACCTGCCAGTGAAATGAGGCTGAGTTCCTGTATAACTAAGGAGTAGTCGTGATGGGAAGGATGATGTTTATATGTAGCTATTAGTTTTTTTTAAATGGTGTGCTGTATTTATTGTATTAACCTGATCTAGTGAAATTAGTTTTCAGGTAGAAAATTGAATATTTCTACTGTACATCTATAGAGTTATATACTGTTTGTAATGTAGAGTTGTTATATACTACTTTAATAGAAGTAATTTTTTTTTTAGATGGAAATCAGCGGACAAATGTGTACTGTTAGCTGTTTCCAATAGCTACGCTGCTGATCAACTGTTTATTGATCATATGGATTTTTTAATTGCCAATTTGAGTGCATGGAATGAACGAAATACTGAGCACTGGATAGACGTTGGATATGATTTGGAATATGAAAATAGATATATGAATAAACACTATATCATTAATGAGTATTTAGTGGATGATATAAAAAATATCCCAATGGAAATTAGGTGCTTATATCTTATTATTTATTATAATATATATATATATATTATTTTGTACTTTTGGTTTCTTTTATACGTATAATGAATATAGTTATTTATTTTTCTATAATAGTAGGTAAATAAGTATGATCAACTCACTTATGATAAAAACATTGTACATCTTTTATAATTAATTATTAAATACATAATAAATATATCATATTAAATTATTATTTTTAGTAAATTACGGAGTGAATAGGTTCAGTATTTATTTAACGATAAAATGATCATAGTTTTTAAGGTTGATAAATTTTCAATTATAACCCAATAAATACAATTTTTATTGTTTGACTTATAATATTTCATAAAAATTAAAACAACAAAATACGTTTATAAAAAAATGAGTCTATGTATTAATGTATTATCGATATTTTTAAATTGCTATAATCAACATCTATGATCACCTTAATTTGTTTAAAATTTCCCACCTATTTGACCCACAGTCTATTTATACCGTTTTATGTAAGCCGGTAGGCACTAACTCAAAAGTAAATAACAATAATAATATAATATGATATATACTCTACTATGACAGTTAATATAATTATAAATGCGACGTTTACGGCGAAAATTAATTCAAATTAACCACTGTTATACTAACAGTAAAATAAATACTTTAAGCAATATAAATATATAACAAAAAAAGGTGGACACGTGGATTCCACTCTGCTGTACAGTAGTTGTCGAGCATGTCGTTAGAATGTAATGTGTCATATAAAAATTATTGATAAATTATTGCATGCGAAAAACGATTCGAACGCAGACTTATCATCGTGGCATTCCTGTTAAAAATAATTTTAAAAAAAATATATAGAAATCGAAAATATATCATGGCTATAATGCCTATAAATAGCTAAACTTTCCAGTGAACTTAAATTTTTTGATATAGGTGAAAAATTTGTTGGGAATCTTCTATTAACCATTTTTAATGTTAGCTATGAAAAACTTTCATGAATTTCTAACTGAAAAATAATTTATTAAATTTGAAAAAATTATTATAGCTATAAATAGCTCAAGAATAGTCAACTTAGTTGGAAAACTCTACTATGTATGGAAAATAGTCATTTAAAAATTTAGTGAAAATTTCAAGGGTCTACGGTTATTGGTTTTTGAATTACAAGAAAGTATCAGTAATCGATAGAGGGGTAACCGTTATTTTAATGTTAAAAATCTAATATAGTATACATTTTGAAATTAATCTTAAGTCTCGGTGTACTCTTAATGTTTTGTTTGAAAATTTGTGGAAATTCTTCAATTAAAACATCTAATGTTAGCTAAGGAAAGAAATATTTTTATTAATTTCTAACTGAAAATTAATTTGAAAATTGTCGAGATTTTTGTGAATTTTGTGAAAATGTGTACATTACATGAATACAAAAAATAATCGTGCCTGTGTATTTTTAATATTTTTGAACTCCCATTAAATGAACTTATGAGAAACCTTGCAATTTTTAATATTTTTTACTGAGTGAAAGAGATTTTAACAAGAATAATTTTAAATAATATACAAAATTTTAAAAAGGTCTCGAGGCTTTTAATAACTCAAAAAGAGCCAAAATATTTCAAAAATATTACCATATATGGTAGAATACATGTTTATTTTTATATAAATATTTGATGAAAATGTCAAGTGTTTACGAGTTTTTAAGTTACACCAAAAAAATAAAATTGATTTTTTTAGAAATTGCAGGTATTCTCTAAAAATGATCACTTTTTTTGTTTTTCAAGACGCTTTTGAAAATTACTAGGAATTATCAATTTGGAACTCTTAAAAGTATCAACTATATTCTAATTTTCTATCATAAAAAATGCTGATATCGAGAATTGAAGTACTTTTACTATCACAAATGTTGAAGACAGACAAAAGAAACAGCACACACATCATTGTCATATAAATACATTCATTCGCTACGCTCAAAATCTAATATATACTTGATAAGATATTAAGATGAAAAAAATTGAACTCAAGTACTAAATGCACAATAATTTTTATATTTTTATATTATCTTTACATAGAATCGTTTTTATATATAATGGTTTTATAATGTGATTGGATTAAAATGTAACTCGACACCTACTGTACAACAGAGTGGTACCCATCTTTATAAAGTATATTTATTTAATCATATCGATCTTCCTTTTAATTTGTGGAATTTTTGTTTATTCAAATAGAGGAACATGTGCAAAATTCAAAGGTACAATAACGATAAATCCTGATCATGATGTTGCAGGAGTAATTCATGCCATGAACATTGGATTTCAATTAGCGGCAAAACGTTTTGCCAGAGACCGAAATCATCAAGTTTATGCTTATGGTCGTCGTGGATTTTCTTACTAATAGTTTTGGTTTATTTATGTGATTTTCGAAGCAGTTTTATTGCTACTAAATATAACTGAAAGCCTAATTTAATGTCTACATGTCTACAGTTAGTTTATTGTAATAAAATAGTTGTTAAACTAAAAACTATATTTTTTTACTATATAATAAACCAATGCACGTTATTTAAGCTTATAAACGTGGAAACTACTGAACCAATCGACACCACATTTTTCACACGGGTGTTTTTTGCTCCGCTAATCAACCTAGTTAATCTATAGGTTATGTATTGTCATAAGCCACAAGAAGAAAATTGAAAAATGGTTTAGCCTAGACGTCTTGCCATGCTTTCCTGTAGGATTTTCTTAATAAATAAAAATAATATTTAATTAATTGTATGTTCTTCAAATGAACAACAACCGTTTATGCTGGTATAATGTAGCATATACTCAAGTACAACTCAACCAAATTTGACGAACAAGTTAAGTAATTTTAATTAGAGATATCTGAAAAGTTTGATGATCATTTTTAACTACGTCTAAAAGTACATCAAAAGTTATATCCAATCCGCCACAGGTAGATTTTCTTGTGAACTGAGGTTAACGCCAAGAATGCACTGTTCTATTAATTTATGTGTAAAATCTTGAGTATCTCTCTTTAAAAAAATAACGTTGCATCGATTAGAATTGTGTGGCACCACAATTATTTGCGCGATTAACAAAGACAATAATAACTTCAAATAAAATATTCAAACAAATGAAAAATATCTCTGAACTGACTCAACGGTCACACTCACTTGGATTAAATCATTGTCAAATGGAAAGCATTTTTTGTCCACCGCGTCGGAGAAATTCAAAGTCTTACTTCAACCTCCGAATGGTATCAAGTTCTTAAAGATAATCCCACAGACATAATATCGCTCGGTTTTACACCAAATAATATAAGCAATCAATAATCATGGTGAGGGAGTCTCATCCGGTTGAAACTAAAATAATAAATGTGACCAAAGAGCGTTGCACGAAAAAACGACGAATCCCAAAAAGTTTTAGAAGGCAAACTGTGTACTCAAATATTTAGTGTTCAAGTAAAAAACCCAATTTTAGAAAAATATTGGCTTACAGAAAATATTTTTTATATATAAGGTGAAAATTGTATGATAAAATTAATACGCAGTGAGGAGCATTTCAAGATGTACAAGCAATTTACTATTTTAAAATGCTCATTACTCGCTTTAAATTAAAATATGAAAAAAACCTTTGTCATCGACTACATAATATTCTTACTTATACTTTAGTATTTTACTACTATACTTAAAACAAATTAAATTGTATAATAGCATATAACCTTCAATGTTAAAATGTAATACTTGTAAAGCTAATAACCTGTGTAATTGATGTTTAACCAATAAAGAAAAAAAATATATTCTTACTACTAAATTTTTTTAAAGGCCAATTCACGCTAAGATTAAGCGTAATTTAGTTAAATTAATTATTCAGAACGAACAATGTGTTATACCTATTATGTGTTTGTAAGACTGAAAAAAAACATGAGGGTATGGCGCTGGCGTCCTCTTAAACATACAGAGTACCGGAAGACTTCTTGAAGTGTTTTCCTTTTCCCGTAAACATCGCTAATTGAAATTTCCTATTAATATAATACGATTTTATTGAAACACATTGAAAACTGTGAGTAAACAAATAAATACTTATAGAATATTTGAATATGTTCTTTTTTATTATTTTTTTCAAATTAATGCTCAAAATAAAATACATTATTTCCAATTCAACCTAAATAAAAGTAATTAAGCTAAACATTGAAAAATGTTCAAAACTAATAACTACCTACTATTTGTTTAAAGACTATTTTTCAAGGCTTTGTTTTATTTAAGACTAAAACATGTTGTATAATTAGTGGTAGAATAATTTAAAATATTGTATTGCCTAAGTCCAGTTTTGAATTTAATGTCTGAATATTCTAATAAAAACATTTTAAAAATAATGATAATTTTATCCTAACGAAGGGTAGTATAAAAAATATTTAATGTCACTAAAGATCACTTAAGAGTTAAGATTATAAGCAATCAGTTTGGACAACAATTGTAACTAATTAAATTTATAACTAATATTTTATGAATTATACGATTAAAGCAGTGAATATGAGGGATGACATATTTTTAAAATGTAATTGATTAGAGGAATAGTGTTAAAATCTGTTTATTGAAACTTATTCAGTAAAATAAAAGCACATTATTACATTGGTATTTATGCTGGATTCGCGGGAATCGTGGCCAACACCCTGGCCACTATCCGTGCATCCTGACCTTGAGTGTGATCGACCGTCCGCAACGTAAACTTTGTCTGTTTTTGTGTCATCTGCCGCGCCTTGCCGCCGACCGCGAGCGCGTACTCGGAGTGCGTCTTGAACGCGTGCCCCGCCATGACCACCGTGACAGGCAGTCCGGTCCGCCTCAGCACCGCTGACAGCCCCGCGGCGATCAGGTTCGCGGACCGTCTGGTGACGCACCGGCACACGTACCGGAACAGCTCGCAGTCCATGTCCGACGGGTCAGTCACGTTCAGCACGCCGGTCAGGACAGCCCGGACGCCATCATACGACGGACTGGTGTCTGACTCGACCAGCCACAAGTGTTTGGCTTTGAGGGCGTATTCTGTGTCCATGGAGGTCGTAGTCCTACCTTCAAACATCGCCTGGTTGGAGGCTATCTCCAAAACCGCCATGCGCACCAACTCGGCCATATACATGCCTGCAATGATGGACCGGAGACGACCGACCGACCACGGTGACTTTGACATTATTGTTATTATAAATTGTTATAATCAGGACTTGGGTGGTCAATGATTTTTTTTTTAAATGTTAATTTACTTTTAAATATAATGCGATTCAAATTATTCAACTAACAAATCTTTGTAATACAATACATATGTATAAATAAAAAAAAACAAAATCTGAAAATCAGATATTATTTTAAACTTGGATTCCAGGTATAACGAATCAAATTTGTATCGAATAGAATTTATCCTATTTACATTTCGTACATCAATCATAATTTGCATTAAGTCCCGAGTCTAAGGGTCAAACTTTGTTGCATTTGCATTTTTTTTGCACGTTTGATCTTAATACATACACTTTAGTTTCAATATACTACTTTAAGAATCAACTATCAAAAGTATTGTGCATGTCGTTTGACGATTAAAACCATTTTTAACAGTTATAAATTATAATAATATGATTGAAAACGTAACACACTTATTACAAATATTTGAGATTCTATTGGGGGTTCAAAACCACTAATATCTACTTAGATGCTAGGAATTGAATCACGATTCTAGTGTAAATCAAATTGCAGTAGGCCATTAATTAGTGTGAGTGTGGAGTAGATAATCATAATAAAATAATAAAAAATGTATTTACATTTAAAATAGAGTTACTAAAATATACAGTGTAACAACATACAAATCCCTCCCTTATTTAGATACAAAAAATAATAACAACATTTGTTTTGTTTTTTAGCACTTATTTTCACTTAGCACATCATTAGAGAATTAAGGTTTGAGCACGACTCACAGTTGTATAGAATTTATGAACTATAGCAAAAATCGAGTGTGTTGCATTATTGCGCTTGGATGAAGTGAAACTTCTTTAAAGAGGGTATGAAAAAAAAACTGCATCACAGTCAAATATTAAGTTTATTATGGAAAAATAAAAAAATAAAATTTTCATTTGAAATTAATTTATTATCTATTTCTATACTACCTACTATATAAAATGCAGTCGCTCTCTTTTGTTCGAGATAAACTCCAAAACTACTTATTCAATCGTCGTGCAGTTTTTTTTTTAAATTAAAGAGGACATCACGGAGGAATTTTTAGGCATACATTCAGTCCGATAAAGTTAATTAATAATTAGTTATTATTAATTAAAATAAACATGCAAATTGTAACCTGTACCTTTTTTAGTAAGAAATAGTCAATGGCTGAAAATAAATAACAATCAAACTCGACAACCACAGATGCTTCTAGGCAGGTCGGTATCGACGTGGAATAATAAACAATTATTATAATATTATTTAGTTGAGCAAAAAAAAAAAACAATTAATTTTATCTGAGAATCTATTATTAGTATTTATAATCAATGGTGTTACATTAGTTATTGGTAAAAGATTTATCATTTGTAAATAATATAGCATAATACTTGTATAATACTAATAGGTATATATTTTTATTGCCCGGTCATCCGCTATGGCGACGCTAAATTTATATGGCTACATTACCACGGAGACGTGACTAAAAGTGGTCTAAAATAAAAACAATTATTTAACATACAGAAAATAAATAGCGGATTAATATCTGAGAAATCTTGAAAATAGCCAAATATTGCCGGGTCAGCTAGTTATTGTACAGAGATAAGACAAATTGGTTATTATTTATTACCATGGCAACCTAACAGACGAACGAATTTTTTTGGCCGGCATCTCCCAGCCGATTTTTTTATGTATAAAATTAAGTTGTGGTTAACAGAAAGTGATGTTTTTCGCCGGCCGGTCAGTTCACCCTGTTTTCCAGCTCTAGGATGAACACTGCGTGGCGTGGCGACCGGCCGGCCAAATCCAATAGTCTGATTGGGCCCTTAGTTGTGAGCAAGCCACGCCCCTAATGCTTCTTGGTCGAAAAGGCTGAGCCCATGAATTCGACTTACACTACAGCGCATAAAGAAGTTTCACTTCAATAATGATAATAATACAACCACAATAATAATAATATCTTAATCGCAACAATGGGTCAAAAATAGGGTGAACGTAACTCGCCTGAAGTCATTTTCTCGTAAATTTGCTTGCTGGGATTTTGGGATCGGGCGTCGAGCCGACGGTCGTACTCCGTCAACAGGTGGTCAAGCGCGCCATCCTCGCCAAAAGCACCCCATTCGGTGTTGATGACTGTGCGGCCGAATTCTGACACGTAACAGCAGTTGCAGCCGTCGTCCACGACGAGCGCGGCACGTGTATCCGGCCTATCCGCCGCGCTGTGCATCATAGCCACACACGCGTCGTTAAGCACGGCCACCGGACCCACGACCACGTCAGCCCGGGCCGCGGCCGCCCGCCACTCGGCGGCCACGTCCTGCCTCATTGCGTCCGCACAGTCGAACCCCTTAGTCCACCGGCACAGGCTGGCCACGCCCCCCAGAGCCCCGGCGTGCCAGACTGGGAATCCGAACGTCAACGCCAGCGGCACCCCGGCCCGCCTCACGTGAAACTCGTCGGCAAACTCGGCAAGTCCTCCAGCCACGTGGTCGAACAGATTGGCCACCTTGCCGGTCATCAGGGTCCTGGGCGTTAGTGGGTGCTCGCGCGATCTGATCCACACGTCGTGCGCACCCAGCAGGGTCGTAAACCGCGTGCGGAACCTGTCGCCGTGGCACAGATCCAGGCTCAAAAACTTGCGGACGACCGCATCGGTGGCAGCGGGCGGTGACGGACGCGGTACGCGTGTGTCCCAGCACCTTATTGTTGCCAGCGCGCCAGGCTGTTCGTTGCGCCACAAACCTGCGTCCATGGCGTCCGACATGCGGCGCGCCACGACCGTCAGCTCATCGTCGGAAACTTCGAACTTCCGGCCAACCTGCTCGGCGTTCAGTCGCATCCGGAACATCTGCGAGTAATTTATCGAATAATTTCTCCTTGGTCTCCGGAAGTTGTTCAAGTGGCTGCGCGCGTGTCCGGTTGCCGCGCGGCAAAAATGTTGGGTGGCAGTAACGCTCGGTAACATTCTGTATAGTGTTTCGTTAGTATTCGTTTTTTTAATATTGATTGTAATTTTAGTTAGTAGGTTTTAGTAGGTTGTAAGAGTTTAATGTTATTCTTTGTTTATTTATTTATTTTTTTGTTTATTTCACGTTTGTCAGATGACCTCGTTTCGAACGTATTACCAAACATACGTGTTAGTGTTATACAGTGTGTTGCACTATAATACGCGTATCAGTCAATAGAATTTATTTAGTCAATAAGAATTTAAAAACGATTTCAAAAATGTATTAATTCATTAACCTATAATCAGATAACAATATTTTTATATTCACCCAAAATCCATATTGAAATGATAGCTCTCGAGTTTTTGATTATAATTAGTTTCCAATCTACAGAGTTAATGTATATAATAATAATATTATGATAAAAAAAACAATACCTCATTTTTAGGTGCGTTACCTTGGCCCCACCACTTTCTCTAAATATATAATAATTTATGTCAAATTATGTAATATCATTTGTAATCATTTGTAACCACCAAAAAAACATTTGTAACCTAACCAAAACCGCTCAAAACCAAGTATCTGTGTGGTGGGGCCTGGGAAACGTTACTACAGCCCCACCACTACAGAAGTTCGACTTTCCGGTAACTCAGACCTAGTGGAAATTATGTAATATCATTTGTAATCATTTGTAACCACCTAAAAAACATTTATCAGCCATTAATATCCGTTTAAAACAAGGTTTTATTTACCCTTTTGATATACCAAAATATCCTGTTTTCTAAGAAATTTTCTTCGTCCATTCTTTTGATAAAATGGTTAGGTATTTGACACAATTTAAAAAAATTTATGATTTAGTAGATAAAAAAAACATCTATGGATCCTTTCTCACTGAGTGAAATTTGTGAATTTGGCTGAATTTGGCTGTAAGTTAAAATATTTATAATATACAAAAATGACCCGGCTCAAAATTTCGTAAGGTCCAACTTAAAAACCATAAAAATTAACAATGCCAACTGAACTCTTATTTTTATACAGTTCATTTGACAATTCAAAACGATTTATCGCAATGAATATTGTAGGCGTTATATATGTGCGAATTGCATTGCCTTGATAATGGGTGGCGTTGATTAGATGAAATAAATAAAATGTCACCATCGTTTTAAGAAATTGGTAAATCCAATCAAACTATTAGAAGATAACACTGATTAAACATAATAAATATATTATAACCAATGGTTATATTATGTTAATCGATAATCGACATTTTACAGTAACGTAAATAATTTGCATGGCACGGCGCTTTGTATAGGCAATTTAGAAACAATTGTAAATTAATCATTTATGCACTCCATTATTATAATCGTAATAAAATATATAACTTATAAATTTATAATACATTTGGTACATTAGTTTCAGTGTTTCACTATTAAATATAAGATGTAAATGAATGGCACTGGTATAAAAAAAATTAGTAGAGAGGTCATAAACAACCTTGAATCCTGAGTACCTAGGTACTTACTACTTAGCTTTAGATCAATAATTAAAAACAAGAAAATTTACTTACTGTTGAATCTGTAGATGAGATTATTAACTGGGATTTTCTTTTTATATAACTTATAAGTTTTTAAAGATTTATTTTCATAAATTTTAAAAATAAACAGTTATCAAAATCATCGAAAATAATATATCAACTTATTTTAAAATAAAAATATAAAAAAACCTCCACTGGAGAGTAGTTTATAATCTTCAATCTTCATAAATTCGATAAATTTGTTCCAATCTCGGTACTGCACACCCATCATAATCATTGTGAATACACCGAGTGCTATAAATGCATGCATCATAATTATTGTCTTATCACCAAAATGTATTTACGTCGAGATCACGCCGTAAGAAGTGTGTACCTACGCATTATCATCCACACGCGTAATACCTAATAATTTATTATAATATATATACATATACACATATTTAGGAGGGGGGTGAGGAGGAGGCGGCGTCGATGATAATATATGATCACACTATTATAATATATTGGTCTGTTATCATCGACGCCGCCTCCTCCTCAGCCTCCTCCACCACAATGATAAGACATGGTAAGTAAGTGCCTATAGCCGCAGCTCGTCACGCGTGATCGAAACACGCGCAGTTTGTACGTTGAACGCGTCCCGCCACGACGCTGAATTTCGTCCGCCCAACCGCTCGCTCGTTCGCTCTACCGTCGTATACGAGGATAATTAATAAATAAATCGAATACATCGTAACCACATCGTTCACCCGTCGGCCGTATTCCACACAGTATATTATACATATTATATACTCGCAATAACATAATATTATTGAGCACCTCCGTCGAAAAACTTTCGGTCCTGTGTTTCCGGTCATCCGCGTATACGACTTCAGAGCGCGAGAGCGAGCAGAGCGCGTTGGTGGCGGTCCCTCAGCGGCAGCCGCGCGACTCTGCAGCGCACACAATTATCCAATAAACGATGGCGGTCGGCAAAAAGTTGAACCGGAAGAAGACGATGGCGGGCGTAGTGCGTGAGTCGTCCATGTTGGACAGGGTGCTGAGCACCACCGACCTGACTGCGTTAGGCGTGGGCAGCACTATTGGCGTGGGGGTGTACGTCTTACCCGGAGCCCTATCAAAGTACGTGGCCGGTCCCGCCGTCGTCGTATCATTTTTCATCGCCGCTGTTGCCTCTGTGTTTGCCGGTTAGTATACGAAAAACAAACCTTAAAGTATACAGACACCAAAACGAGGACAAACAAATCAATTATCCAGTCAAAATTTGACTTTTATAGTTTGGTTTTACTGGTCTACGTTGGTTACCTCAGTAGACTTGCGGTCAACATCATCAGATGGTTTAGTGTTGATTTATGTACCTCTACTACCGTTGAATGAGGAATTTGTGTTATATAAATATTCATTAAATGATGTGTTTTTTTCTGTATATTCGAGTTCAAAGTTCGTCACTCATACATTCTTTATTGGGAATACTTTTTTAATACTAATATTAATTGAACCACTCAGTCAGTAATTGTTAGTAAATTAGTAAATTATTAGTTTACATTTCATAACTTTAAGTTGTGTGTTTAAACCTCTAAATAAGCTAAAACACGAACCAGAAATAAAGTAAAGTCTAATTTTGATGCTCAAGTAGTAGCAAAGTAATTTTACTCACTGAAAAATTAGAAAAAATAATTGTATATCTAAGTTCTAGGTAGATTTAACTCGAGACAAAGACACAAAGTGAACATGTTATTTTTTTTTAATAATTTTATATTGCCCTTGAAGGACAATGTTGGCCCCACGGGGCCCACATATATTACATACCTATTATATTTTATTATTAAATGAAGATCAGATTAAATGCCAAATGGTAGGTATATAAAATATAAAAATAGTAAATACCTAAAAATCTACAGGTGTACTTTTATCATACGTATTTTTTTTTACATAAAATAATCATGGAAGTATAAATATTATAAACTCGATGGAATGTTATATTATAATATTTGATCAGTTAAGATTTATTGCAAATACTAATCTCATCAGTATATTTTTCTCATGAGAATGTAGCCTAGTTAGCTATAGTAGCTATAGTTTAGAATTAAAATACACACATTTTGTTAAGACACGTAAAACAATTATTTTACATGCATGTTCTTGAGGACAAAGATATAGGAACTTAATTCATTGTAACCTATCAATTTTTTAAATATAACATTTTTATTAAGTTTAACAATTTTACTACAGAGTTTTAACAGAATTAAAATAGCGAGACACTACGTACGTCCAAGGTTTTAATCGAACCATAATAACATTTCAATATCTTGTTAAGTATAACATCGACTAAAAATCAAAACTTATATACTAGCTATGAAGTAAGTTGTATTTAATTTGTCAATAAACTTTATAAAACAAATAATTCAATGTAAAGTACATCTCATTTGAATGTAGGTACGTGCAATTTAAAATTATAGACTATAGTAATCTCGTAGATACGTAGGTACATATCAGCAGTATTGTGTATACTATGCATATTACGTATTATTGAGTATTGAGTATTGACCCATAAATGGCAAATCACTACATTTTCTATTATAAAAACTAAAGTCCATCTGTGAATCAAGACACTTAATAATAGTCTCAGAACAATAGATGTATAGTTATACAAATATACTGAAAATATAAATTAATAAATGTATAATAATAGATCAAACGTATGCAAACACGCCTTATGATTCAAATATTTTAAGATAATGTCCTGACGAAGGACCGCGGCTGTACATTTGAAGTATTTTATGTTGTTTTTTTTTTTTTTTTTGCTTCTTTGTTGAAGGAATTAAATTTGACACAAAATTTGTTTTACATCACTACTATTTTGCAAATTTGAGGATTTGAGAATACATGGTTGTAGATAATTCTTAAATAATTTAACAGCACAAAATTTACAACAACACAATATTTATTTGCTTATTATATTTGTATTATGAAAAAAGTTTTATTTTAATTAATACTATTTTATAATTATTATTTATAAATATTATATTATATAAATTCATTGATATTCTCAAATTTTTTAATTTTTTTTGATAAGGTTGACAAAGCTCTATTCTAATGTGTGATACTGTGATTTACAATTTAATTTGCAATAAATAAAAAAAATAGTTATGTTAGAAACAATGGAAGGACTATGATGGTGCATATTAGGTTTTTTAGAAATTATTATCACTAATCACTATTTTTATCAATTATAATTTATAACTCCGATATTTAATACTCAGTATTTACAGCTGTCGATAGTTATTACTTATTGGTCATCAATAATATAATATGCTGCTTAGTTCACGAGGGTTAAATGTTACCTAATATTTATTGTTTTGGGGATTCAATATTATAAATTATACCTAGTCCCGTCTACTATGGTAAATGATTAATGAAATATATTGATTTATTGTCAACAAGTAGGTACAGATGCGCCTAGTCAGTTGTAAAATTTAGTTGAAATAGGAAATCGTTATGGACTATTTTGAATATCTAATAAATATATATAAATGTTACTGTGAATGTCCCCAATTAGTGAATGCTGACAATCACCTAGTGAATGTCGACATACCCCTACTAAATTGATGAATGTTAAAAAATTAAAATAATATAGACATGTACTAGTGGATGTTGACATTTATATTAGGATTTTGGTCAATGTTGACATACACAATAAGGTTTTAGTTAATGTTGACATTGGTTACGTATTCGCACACAATATTATAGTATAATACTATAGACAATAATATAAATTATAAATATTAACAATTACTTTTATCAATTATAATTATTATTATTGAACAACCTTATACCTGTAATATTAATTTAAATTATGATTATTTTGCCATACAAAAATTATTATTTTAAAAAAAAAACGATAATTGTTCTCCTTATTACAGCATGACAGTTTGTCAAGACATTTTGAACTGCATCAAATGCCAACATTTCTACAACCACACTTTTTTGTGGTGCACTTTGTTTTGCAATTACATCGTGTATACTTTTGCCCAACGGTTGATGAATTTGATGCAGAAGGTTTAAGGAAATTTGTTTATCCAATTATCCATTTGTACATCAGTAATTGATATTACATTTTCTTTACATACGAAAACTGGTTTCTGGTATATAATTTATTTATAACACCATTTTTGGTACCTAATTTTTTAGATACTAAATTTTTAAATTTATTATAAAAAACCTCACGTATGTTTTCCATTAAAAAAAAAAATGTTTTGGTTATTGTGCAAATCACTACTCTACGATAACACTATAACTACGTTGAATGACAATATCATACAAAATATTAACGAGGCAACACATTTAGCATGCGGTGGTTATCCATGTATAATATAAGTCGCAAGGTAAGTTAATAAAACATTTTATAGAAATTATCAACTTGTACAATAAATTTTATATTAATTAATAGGTATTAGGTACTAGAATATCAGATGAGATCCGATTAAATAATATCGGCATTACCAACATTCACCAATATCGTTGTATAAAATAAATGTCGACATTCACTAGAAAATGTTTACAAACAGTACACATTAAATCAATATGCCAACATTCACCAATGACTTTGGCGACGTTAACCGGTAACTGTTAACACTCACCAACTACGGACATTCGCAGTAACATTTATATACATTTCTGTCTGTTTGTCCTTTATGCATTCTTGAACTGTCAAACCGATTGTGGTTAAATTTGGTACAAAGATAGATTAGGCTTCTGGGAATAAGATAGGCTAATTTAAAAAGGGAAAGATCCAACCACAATAGGTGCTCAAACAGCGTTTTTTAGCGATGGAAATTTTTGTTTATAAAAGAAAAATAATAATACTTTGACACTAATATTGTTTGTTCACAGAAAAATAAACATATTATTCATATAAAGCAGGGATGGGCAACTCAAAGTTAGTTACTAGAAGGCCAATTTTTAGAAGATT